GGGCCTGGGTTATAATGTAATAGCTTTGTTGAGTCCTTGCCATTAAAAGCCATTTTTCCAGAATGGCTGCGTGCCTGTGTGGGAGGGGGAGGGAGCGCAGGGAGCGCCAGGAGGTCCTGGAGGCGGTTAACTGGCCGTACTGCTTGTCTCCCTACATCCCCATCTCCTTCCTTCACACTGTGCCTCAGCGGCAAAGCCCCCTGCAGCCCCCAGCCCAGCAAGGTGACCAGCAGACAGTCCTTCACATCATTGTCAGCTGGGGGCTCTGCAGGAGGAGAGCAGGAGCAAAAGAACTCATCAAGGCAGACAGCGGAGTGAAATCACTGCTTGCAAAGGCCATCAGAGAGTGGGACAGGTACGTGATCTCTCCTGTGTCACCACTGTGTCGTAGTGAACAGTCAGAGGAGGTGACGGAGGTGGAGATGGGGCAGAGACAAGACCGGGGACAATTTGGAGTGGGCCATGGTGGGGCCAGAGCTGGGCACAGCTGCAGTTTTGCTCACAGGAGGCCTGAAGGCCCCAGCCTGGCCACTGATGAAAGCCCCTGAGCCCATGGCAGGCTGTGGGGGAGGCCCCCGGTGAGGCTGGCCGGGGCCACGAGGGCCTATGGGTGCGTCTTGAGGATGAGCCGCCTCTTGCGTGGTGCAGGGGACGTGAGCTGGACCCCTCCTGCCCCGTCTATCTCCGCAGGGACTCAGTGCTGGGTCACGCCTCTCCAAGGCCCTTCACGTGTATCTGGGCATGTGCACAAAGATGAGCCCCTTACACTGCCAGCAACGGGGAGGGGACGGCCATCGGTAGGTTGTGACATCGGTGTCGTCTGTGTGTCCTGCAGACTGGCCCTCCTGCACCACAATGCTCCCTCCGGCTGTACCATCTCTCAGAGACGGCTCTGCATGTGCAGACCAGAAAGGCAGGTGCTGCAGCTGCAACTGGTCTGCGTGCTCCCCCTCGAGCCAGAGAAGAGAGAATCTGAAAGGCAGGGCTGCTGAAGAAGGCAGGTCCTTTCTCCAAAGAACTGCCCCCACAGGACCCCACCTTCTCCCCACCGCTCGCCTCCCAACTTACACTAAACCCAAGCCAGGCACATCTGGTCTGGGTGAACCCTTCGCACGACCGGCCTCTTTCTGCGGAGGTTTCTGCAGAAACCCAGCAGTTTCTCGGGTCACTGGACAAACTCGCTTCCACAGCAGACGCACAGGCAGGAGGCTGCGCCAGCACAGCAGCAGCTCTCCATCCCTGCCCCACGGGGGGACAGCACAGGGGGATCGGGGGGAGGAACAGCCCCAAAACATCATGGTGGGGTGGGGGAGGGGGGTTGTTGGGGGGAAAATGGCTGAGGGGGAAATGTTTGAGGGGGGAAACCATCACCGGGATGGGACAACAACATGGGGGTGGGGAGCCACTGGGGTAGGAAACCATCACTGATATGGGAAACCATTGTTGGTGGCAGAAACCGTGGGGACGGAAGACCACTGCTGGGATGGGAAACCAACAAAGGGATTGGAAACCGTTATGGTGTTGGGAAACCACCATCAGAGTGGGAAACCATTAGGATGGGAAACCATCACTGATATGGGAAACCATCACTGGTAGGGGAAACTGTTGGCATGGGAAACCACCATTGGGATGAGAAACCATGATTGCAGTGGGACACTGGGATAGGAAACCATCATGAGGATGGGAAACCATTGGGATGGGAAACCATCACTGGGTGGAAACTATCGTTGGAATGGGAAAGGGTGGGGATGGGAAACACTCGCTGGGGTGGGAAAACACCGTGGTGGTGGGAAACCATCGTTGGGGATGGGAAACCATCCCTAGGATGGGAAATTGTGGAGATGGGAACTTGTTGTGTGATAAAAAATCAAGCCATCGTGGTTGCCACAGGGACGGACCCCCCGAGCACTGTTTGCCTCCAACAAGCCCTCCAGGCCCCCTGCCATGGCAGCTGCAGCAGCAGCTCCCCATCCTCCAGGTGCTCCTGCCCCCCAGGCCAGCCCCAGATGGCTCGGTCCCCCAGTATCTCACCCGTCACCGTTCTTTGCTTCTCCCAACACAGAGGGTCCCTCTCCGGCTGCCAATGGCCTTGAAGGTGCCGCCCCGGCCCCCCACCCCACGGCTCAGCGCTGGGCGCAGGGACCCCCCGTGCTCCACACCCTGCCCAGCAGTGCCCAGAGCCCAGCAGAGGCGTTCCTGCGCTGGCAGGGGACAACCTGCAGGTGCAGGACCAGCCATCATTTACCATGGACGTCACCAATGTCCACAATGTGCTTGCCTGGCTTGACACCATCCCTGATGTCCCTGACAGACCCACCTTCCTCAAGTAGCTCCTCGCCTTCTCGGAGCACGGGACGGAGGGTTGTGGGAGAATTTTTAGAGATCAGTGGTCACCCTGTGAGCTCCCCAAGCACTGAGAACTTGTTGACGACAGTGTAAGCTTCAAGGAATGTCGAAGGTCAAATTGTGTTTTGTGAACGGCTGAGTTATGTTGAGGGAGGAAAGAACTGTTGCTGAATGTACCAATAAGCAGGATTTTTGAGTAAAACATAGAAGTAGATAACTAAGCGAGTGAACAGCTGGGGCTAGCCAATCATATAGTAGAGATGCTTGTTTGAACTATGCATGTGACCACTTATTGCTTGAGTGTTGCATGGCGCGGGAGAAAGTTGTCTCTATTAGCTGATCTATCTGTGCAATAAAGTGGCATTTACCCTGATCATATTGGTCGTGGTGTATCTGTCCGTGCTTCCGTGTCAACAGAGGGTGACTGCCCCAAACAGCGAGTGGTGGCAGCAACACTGTGGGACTCCCGGGGGTGGTGAATCCCCCTTGCTTGACCCCCATGGGAAGCAGGGTGGCAGTCCTCCCCACCCACTGGCAGAGCATCCCGGCAAGCCTCCTCAGGGGAGTCCCACGGGGGCTTCAGAGGAGAGTCCTCCAGAAGCACCCGGAAGGGTCACCCAGAGGGTCCTCTGAAGGGTCCTCCAGAGAGTCCCTCAGGGAGTTTGGAGGATACTCCAGGGGACACCCCTATGGACAGTCCCCCGGTGAGTCTCCTGAAGAGTCCCCTGAAGGGTCACCTGAAGGGTGCTCAGAGGGTGCCCTGAAGAACCCCCTGATGGTTGCCCTGAGGGTCCCCTGAAGGGTCCTCAGCAGAGAGCCTGGGGGTCCCCTGAAGCTCCCCCAAAGCTCCCACGCCACCAGCA